TATATATATATACATACATACATACATACATATATGAAGAAATTAATAGCTAGAAATAAACAGACATTAGATGTTATTAATATCTGGATATTTAAGGACATTCTCTTCTGGTTTCAGGCAATTTCCAAGGAGTTAGTGACCTGATCTTACTTATTTTTGAACGGCCAAGGCTGTGACATATATATATATACATACATACATACATACATATATGAAGAAATTAATAGCTAGAAATAAACAGACATTAGATGTTATTAATATCTGGATATTTAAGGACATTCTCTTCTGGTTTCAGGCAATTTCCAAGGAGTTAGTGACCTGATCTTACTTATTTTTGAACGGCCAAGGCTGTGACAAAAGACAATGATAATGGAGGTCATAATGGCTATTACAGCAGTTTGAACTACAAGGTGTGAGTAACCTTTGATATATGTTCAATTGATAAGCTATGGGCAAGTGTTAGAAACCATCATTCTCAATATGGTTTCAATACAATTATGAATAATGAAAAGTCATTTTTTATTAACTACAGGATTGCTGGTTCATCTGCTGTTCTCCTTGTGTTGTGCCATAGATATTATATCCAATATAAAAAACGCCTTCATTTTCCCTCTTCCCAAGGTTCAAGCCGGATCTTGCAACGATATTTCTAAATTGACAGTAGGTGACGTAAACACATGAATTGATCACGTTATCCGACGATATCATCTATTTTGACATGATATTAAGTTATCCAAAGATCAGCATGTTATCTATTTGATGGTTTTTGGCATGGTTGATCACCTAATTATTCTCTGCATGATGCCAAATAAGGTTGAAGTATTAGGAAATTAATCATTAAATGGAGCATGGAGGACTGAATGTAGACCTAAAAGAACATGGAGACTGGAGAGACAATTAAGAAGGGTACGGCAGAGTCTAACTGAATTGAGCATATAACCATTAATAACACTGAATGGAAGAAAACATTGAGCTGACTCCAAAATTTTGGGATAAAGGCTTCGTTGTTGGCATTTTAGGAGATTGATTATCCATTATAAATTGGCTCGTGAATGCATGAGTCTTGAGTTATGACCTACCTAACCCTATCCTACTTTTTCTTCTGCTCTCTTATTTGCTATCTATCCATTATTTCCCTCCAGTGCTACATGGCCAATAGTCTTTCTGTTTGAAAATAATTCTCTACTACACACAAGCACTAGATAGTTAACAACCCCTAGCTGTCTTGGCCAAGAGATTGACACCAGTTTTAAGGATTTCAGACCTGCCTGACAGTCAATTTCTTGTGGAGCTTGACTGAAATATGCTGATAGGATACTCAGGTTTATATTTAATGGGTAAAAGTTTGGATGATGAGGACTACTCTTAGTTCAAAGTTGATGCTCAAGTTCTTCTAATCATGGAATATCTATATTTAAATTAACATGAGTCTATCTATCGTTCATTCTTTTTCTCAAAAAAGAAACTGAGTGTCAATCTATTTAAGTTTATTGTATAATAAAGTTAAATTAAATGCTTAATGTAAAAATATTTAAAAAAACACGCACACATACAAACGTGGTACCTATAGAGCAGCAGCATGCACGCACATGTCCAAAAGAAGGATAATTAAGAAACTGAAGCGTCATGTCGGGAAATTTTATTCGAAGGAAATTACAGCAAGCACACATGCATAAAAAATGTAAGATGAGCTCAACAACAGTCAAATATTGAAGCATAATCGAAGTATAAGGAATCAGATACGAGTGCAAGTACTCTTTATTATACTTTTCTTTCTACAAAGTAACTGAACCATTTATTTGCATTTGGTTTGAACAGTAATTTTTCTTTTTTCCTCTAAGCTGAGGCATTTAAAATATTGGATATTTCAATGGGGAGCTGGTCATTCTTTAGCAGAACTGAATGATTACCATCTTAATCGAATCCTAAATTGGAGATCTGAACCATCACAGCAGAGACACAGTAGTATAAAAGAAACTGGAAAGATGTATAAAATGAAGTTTCTGAAATAGTAATTCACACGAATAAGGAATTACCTGCGGTATATTGTTGAACCGCAAAATATGATCAGAAAGAGTTGAACCAGGAAAAACATCCCCCCCAATTGCAATACCTGGAAAATTTAAAGACATCAATTTTATATCAACATCTTAAGTAACTTGACAATAACAATAGAATACCTTCATAAATGCCATCTGTCACACGTGCAATTGTGTTGTAGAGCTCATTTGACATGCCTCCCTGGAATTGCAAAGTCAGACGTACTCGTATTGTACTTCATTAACATAAGCTAAGGAATAAGAAATTTGATCTTTTATAATTAACTAGTTTACAAAATGCAGCATTAACTTTTGGACAATGAAGATTTTTGGCCAACTGCCAAAATAAAAGACCAGCAAAGAAAACAGCCAGTGTACTGCTGAGGTTAATGAATATCTTTCAGTGTATAATGATCATCAATATTCATTATGGACAGCAGCAAGTTTTTTTAGCAAGTGTCGGCCTAATAAAGCAAAAATGATATGTTGTGGAGAAATTTTACTTGGGAAAGGAATTTGGATGTATATAATTTAATATTTAATAGGACTGCTGATAACCTACTACATAATCATAATACTACTCTACAATTTTAAAATATGACAATTCATATAGGTGCCTACAATTTGTGGATTTATTTTCTACAACCACTAGCCAACAAGAATAAACATGGAGACATGCATGTGCATGCACAGTGCCAAATTAAGGCCACTATATAGACAGCAGTTTTGTAAAAAGAATGATACTGTAGATAAAGTTCACTTCAACTGAAACAGGAAAAAAAATAATGTTTTTAATGTGGATAGAAATGGATGGAAGACACAGTTCACAGAGATTCGCATAAAGGCCAAAGGCAATGTGGTTTCATCTCTCCAAGAAGTGCCTTGAAAGATTATATCTCATAGTTATTAACTTTAAAATTCTTTAAACTGCAACTGACTAAGGAACAGCAAGGATTAATGCAGAAACTGAAGCATACAGTCCTTCAAGGCCATGGAAGATGTAGCAGTGTCTTAGAATGTGTGTGTGTTGTGTGTGTGTGCGCCTTGTAAATACCAATGATGCAATCCTTATGCAAACAGTGTGGATTCAAGACTATGACTAAGTATAAACCTTAATGAAAACAGTAATTGCGATGATGCGCTAACACTAAGTAAGGAGATGAGAGCATACTGATTTGGAAACAAATCCCACAGAGCCAGGTCTGTAAAGCTTGCATTGAACTATGTTGTCAATAGTTCCTGCAGTATCTCCAATTTTGAAGGCCCCGGCTTGAATGCCACCGACTGTAGCAGGACCAATAACAACCTGCATTTAACACCCGTCAAAAGACTGGTTATAAGTATGATTCTGTTAAGAAAACCATCAGTTGCCTCGTACCAACTGACACATAAAGATCTCACAGATAAAAGAAGACGGTTGATTGTTTTCAAATGATTGTCAAGTATTCTGCAACAGAAATCTTTGCTGCATGAAAGATGACCTATCTATCTTCTAGAGACGCCCAATATTAATAATCAAATTAGTAGAACTTTAACCACATATTTTTCTGGTTCTCCAGAAACATTAGTATCTTCAAAGCATATTACTAGGGCTAATGCATAATCAAGTTGATACATTCACTTGACATGGAATGGCCTGCTAGCTCATTGAGGCTCCACTTTAACACAAATTATATGCACAAAGAAGAACCCAACCAGATGGAATACACAACACAAGTTCATTAATGTACCTTATTGTTAGCTCGTGCGTAGGAAATGAGCTGCTTTGTGTCTGCTTCTGGGACACCTTCAGCTATAATAGCTACAACTCGAATTGTAGGTTGTTTCAGAGCGGACAAGGAAGAAGCAGCTGCACTGCATATTAAACGAATCCAAGTAGTATATAAATCAAATAAAAAAATAATGATTAACAGTGCTTATTTAAATGGCTAGATATCAGAGAACCCACATAAGTTTGGCCATTTATCAGATAACCCCTTTAAGTTTAGAAATACAAGATAACCCCCCTAGCTTACAGTGTTACATCTTATCCATGGGCATCAAAATGACCTAAATGCCCCTGACTTTTCAAGCATCTCTTTCATGCACTTTTTTTAAGGAAATTTCCCAAAAACCCCTTCTCTTTTCCTGTCTCTTTCTCTCTCCCATCCTCTCTCCTCCTTCACCCCACCCCCCTCTCTTGTTCTTCCATAACCCTAACCCCATCCGTCATAGGTGACCACTGCCGCCAAGGCGCCAACAATGGTGGTTGCTGGTGGCGGTAGGGTTCGGATTAGCCTTAAGGCAAAATAAGAGAGGGAGAGGAAAGGAGAGAGAAAGAAGGAGAGGAGGGAGAAGGGAAGAGAGAGAAGCCTAGGGTGGCCCCTCCCTTCCTACCCATCCCCTCCCTCTAGTGTTTTAAATGTCGGCCGCCCGACATGTCAGTTTGAGAGAGTAAACGCCACCAATTTGGCGTGTTGATGGCAGAAGGCATTTTTGAGGTCCATATCAGATATGTTGGGGGATATTGCGGACATATCGGCTAATTTTTTAGCTTTGAAAAATCGACCGTTTAGGTTCTCTTTTTTTTCTTCAAGGTATCAACAGTTTGGGTTTGGGTTTAGTACCAAAAACCCAAACCCGGTTGACCGTTGGAAAAATCTGCCACTCCTCTTCCCCCCCTACTCTCTCTTCTCTCTCTCTCTTCTCTCTCTCTCTGTTCGCCTATCCTCGCAATTGTCGCCGCCTATCTCCAATCCAACTAACCAAACACCCGTAAGAAACCTAAAGTTCTGTCTTCGCCAATCTTCCAATTTTACTAAGAAACACCGAAGAACTACAGGTATATCTTCTCTCTCTCCGTCTCTCTCTCTCCTCTCCTCGTTCTCTCTCTCTCCATCTGTTCATCTCTCTTTCTCGTTCTCTCTCACCCCCCCCCTCCCTCTCTCTTTCTCTATTCTTCTATTTACTTTTTTATATGTTTAGACAATAAACTTTATTAAGTATGCTTAGTTCCATTTAGGATATTATATTACACATGTGCATCATTTGATATAGCAATCTGATATTTATTTCATATCCCATGGCATATCTCTGATTTCTGATATCCAACATGAATTTCAGCTGTCCTAAATGAACCCGACATCCGACATTTAAAATGTTGCTCCCCTTCCTCCTCCTCTCACACTTCCTCTCTCCTTCTTTCTCTCTCCCTCTCTCTTCCCTAACACTACTCGCACCGCACAGCGATCGCTGGTCGGTTGGGGTTGCCGGAGGAGGCCATGCTCTTTCTAATAGGGTTAGGGTTACATTTGGTTTACAGATTTAATAAAATGAATTATGATTAAATAAGTTACTTCAATTTAATAAGTAGAATGTTATTTCGAAAAGGGTGTGTTGAAGTACTTTGTACCATTTCATGTAACACCATTGGGGGGTTAGTTGAAAAAATCCCAAACTTAAGGGGGTTGTCTGAAAACACTACAAACTTAAGGGCGGTTATCTGATAGTTTTATTAGACCTGAGGAGGTTATCTGATAAACGACCAAACTTAAGGGGATTTTTCTGATATTTAGCCTATTTAAATCATATAACGTGCACAACACCAACCTCCTGAATGATGCAAAGTTGATAAAAACATCAGCAGTTGGGTGTGCACTGCAAGCAGCTTCAATGCTACAACACAAAGACCATAAGAAATATGTTAGCATTTTCTGGGTACATGAACACAAATGATAGATGTATCATAGCAAAAGTTCTGAGAGCCTTTGAAATTTATGACGTAATTTTGCATGAATTAGAGCAGAGTTTGATGATGATTATTTTAAATCAAATAGTCATGTTCCACAATCACTAGGTTCTTAATATTATACATCGAAATAATTAAAAGTAACAGTAACTAGAAAGCCTTCATCCAGATTTTTTTGTGGTAAACTATCTTAATTCCTTCTTCCATTCCACTATCAGCACAATTTGCCTAAACTTATAAAATTACAGGATATGGTTTTTTATAATGATGTTCTTACTATATCCTTTTCTATTTGCAAATTACCTAAAGTGTGATGGGCATGAAAGCGAGACCGTAGAGGTATGTAATCGGGCAGGAACCAAATAAAAACTAACGTCCATGATCAGGGTTAGATCTACAATAAGCCAGTATGGACAATAGCACACTTGAAGCTATCAGAAATGCCAAAGGCCCATGCACTTTCAGGCAGATGTATATGATAACTAGAGGGCCTGATGCACAGTATCCCAACCTGAAGTAATAAAGGAAGAAAAGTAATATTGGTTGGCTTATGAACCTCTCAAACACAATGTTTTCTGGATAGCTTTAATATAACTGTGAATACAATCCTTCAGATTAATAAATCCTGTATACACACTCAGGGAGATAGCTTTTCAATGCAAGTTGTCAAACCAGTAAATTTCATTTGCTATAACATTATAATTGATAAGACTAGAATTAAATTTGTGACTCCTCTCCTTATAGTGCAAACTTCTATAGGAAGACTTACTATTCCATTTTAAAGGATTACTGGGGCTAATCACACATCTACATAGAGATACAGATTGCCATTCATGAGTCAGTGCGTAGTGGGACACTGGATAATTCCTGGAATGAATGATTGCTTAGTTACCCACATCGAGAATGACGTGCTTCATACAATGCATGTAACTATGTACATATTGTCCCTCTGACCGCATTATTAAATAGCTCAACTTTAAGGGGAGAACAGAAAAATGCACCTCGGGTGAACTGGGATGGCAATTTCCTCCTGACCAAAGAACAGTTTCTGAAACCCCTCCGCGCCAGGATTAATTATCCCCGCAACAGAAGGCGTTTCCCTCCCTGTAAATAAAATTCAAAACTTTTTTTTAAATCTTTCCTACACACATTTTTATATTAAGAAAAACCCAATTAATCAGCAGCAATCAAAGAGGCAACCAACACTCACCGCAAAGGAAGTCGAAATCAAGCATCCTTTGGATTGGCAGTTGCTTGTAGTTGTAGAACAATGCCTGCGTGGTTTTCGAGAACAGGTTTCCTGTAGCCATGATTGAGGATTGCGACTAAACAACCTGAAAATTGAAACAATTCAGCGTTAAGCTTTCTCGCGCAATTTCACAAGAATCAGTGACCAGATCTAGCGATCACTCATAAACTGAAAACGAGGAGCAATACGACCAGATAAACCACAGATCAACCTCATCAAATTTAAAAAAAAATCAAATTATAAATAATAGATCGAAGGCCCGATCCGGCTCCATACGCCACGAGATCAAAGAATCCCGCGTCCACACCCAGATCGGCAGCACAATCTCGTCTCAGAAGCAAATCTACAAACACTTTGAATCAAAAGAATCGAGGAGAAAGTCTATGAAGAGTACTACCTTGGGGTGATTGAAGAGCTTAGATCTCTCCGAAGACGGAGAGAGATCGCAGGAAAATAAGTAGCTCAGGAAACGAGAATCTCGCTCGAAGAAGGAGCTTTATATAGAAGGAGAAAGGGAGCGTCAGAACTTAGAACCTACTCCAGCTAACTTTTGTGAGAGAGGGAGGGAGGGAGGGGTGAAGCGAGCGAAGCACGTGCGGTGAGTAGTTAGCTGTTAGCTCAACACAATCTTTATTTGGTCAAGGTTTGGGCCAATGGGTACCGCCAGTGATCTTACCTTCGGTGAACGGATTAGTGGCCAAGATTTCTTACTTGTTTTAGGTAAGGGCCTCTTTGGCTGGTCTCCCACAATTGCGGGAATATATTTTTAACCCAAAAAAATTCATTTTTGTGAGTTTTTTTTGTTTTTTTTATGTTTGGTTTTTCATTGAAATTAGTAAAGAAAATAGGTTTCATCCTTTCCGATGTTTGTTTAGCAAAAAAAAAAAAAACTTAAATATTTTATTCCCCCATTTAGAACACGCATGCTCACTCAGCTAATATTTTAATCCCTAGTTAATAGTTTTCCACTTCATTTCCTAACTTTGAACTTGGAAAATTAGGGTTTCTCATTTATTGACGTGGAGGAGTTCTCTGCACCTCATTTCCCTTAAGGGGCTGTTTGTTTCACCAAGGGTTAGGAATAGGATTATGAATCCAATTTAATTTATGGATTCCAACCTAATCCATAAAATTTTTATAGACAAGTTTGAGTTTTATGGAATCCCATTTTTTTGTCATTCAATGTTTGTTTCACCCAAAGATTAAGAATCTCACTTTTATAGAATTTGTCAAATTCCTAATACCATGTTTGGTTCAAAAAGACCAATTTTTTTAGGATCGATACTATAGCAACTGCTAGCCGATTTTATATTTAAAAATCACTGTAGCAACGGATTGAAGCCATAAAATTCAGATTTCAAGCAAGTAACACTGTAGCAACAGCTATTTCCAGATTCCAAAATTCTTGGTCAAGACACTGTAGCAACGGCTATTTCCTGATCTCAAAAATCAGATTTCAAAATTTTCAAACTCAAAACACTGTAGCAACAGCTAGTAAAGGGGCATGGTGGCTATAAATTCACCTTGAGGCGTCAAGATTATTAATCCAAGCATTCTCATTTTCAGCATTTATAAAATTCCCATTGTCTTCAATTTGCTGCCCCCGACATGAAAATGATATCAGAAGAGTGCTGGCAGAATTATGAAGTTTATTGCGACTGCAATCTCCGAACACCGATGAAAGTGTGCAAGAATGGTAAAAATAAGGGTAGGTGTTATTGGGGGTGTGCAAAATTCCCAAATAAAGAATGCAATTTTTTCGAATGGGCTGAAGAAAGAGGAGAGTCATCAAGCAACCAAGGAAGCCAATATGTCAAAGAAAATAGGTACGGAGATAAATATATTTTGCAATCAAAGAAGCTGAAGAAAGAATTGAGACTTGTCGGAAATTAACTACTAGGTTGGAAAATTTCAGCAATTTTCTTAGCAATTTTTTGCGTTATTTTAATTATTACAAACTTCATGTCATGTACATGTACATGAAAACTGTTGTTTGAATTGGGTACAAATTCTAATTGATATTGTATGGCTCAGTAATAGATCAACTTGTCATCGTTGATTGCCCCACCTATAACTTACATGTTTATTACAGATTGCATTATAAGGATGAATTGCCTCACCTAGACATTGTCAATTCAATATGTTAGGCCCTTTGTTTTGATGATGATTTACAAACACCATTATTGGTGCTAATTGTTTATTGAGCTATATTGTAGATTTCATATCATTAGCACCTTTTATGGAGGATTGGATGGAATACGGGCTATAACGATAATATCTAAAGGAGGTGGAGGCAATACGATAAAGCAAAGCTATCAAGAGCACAACACGTACAAGAGGCTTCATCAAAAATGAAAGCAAATATCAAGTCCAAGACATCAATATTCATATATGTGAGATATTTGTATTTTACTTCTCTCTAGTGCTTAATGTAGGCAAGTTATTAAGTTGGTTACATCTAAAGCTCATTGGATTCACACATACACTTTCCATACAAACTATTGTTTTTGAACCTTTTTGGAAAAACAACATTTTCTATGATTATTAAATAATTTCTCAAAATTTCTTTTTCAATATATCAGAAAACATAGTTATAAATTTTTTCTAAAGTTTCACATTTTTTAGAATTTATTTGAGATTTTTTATCTATGTTTTAAGTCAGATTTTTGGACATGCACAGTGTCTGTGCATGTTCATAAGTCGACTTATCAGGACTGATAAGTCGACTTATGAACTGCTCCAGAATATGCAAAAAACTCTCTGTTAAGTCGACTTGTAGGAACTGTTAAGTCGACTTATAAACTCCTCTGGAATGTCCAAAAATCTCTCTGCCAAGTCGACTTACACGACCTGTTAAGTCGACTTACACTAAGTCGACTTACGTATTTTTATAAGTCGACTTATAGGCTGAAAAAATGACTGTAACGGCTTGTTACAAGTCGACTTGTCACTGTAGCAAGTCGACTTATAACAGCTATTTTCTGGCAGCCTTTTTCTCGGGATTTTCTCATTTGTTTAAGATTTTGGCTGGGGTTTTGAGGCTCTATATATACTTAAACCCTCTCCTCTTATTAGAAAAAATGCAAGCAAGAGAAAAATCCTAAGTTCTATTTTCTAAGTGATTTGAGCTTAAATTTTCAATCTCTCATTTTCAAGTTTTCTAAAAGCCTTTGTTTTCATCACTTCCACACAACAATCCTTTGAGCTTCAGTTGTCCTCGCTTGATCCTTGTCATAAGGAATTTGTGTGAGAGTTCTTCTTGTTCTATTGTAAGTGAGAGGTTTGTGAGATCTCGATGGAGATCATTGTGTAGAAGAAGTTTCGGCTTCCAAACCGGGCGTGTAGTGGATTTCTCATCGAGAGTGGGGAGCGGGGACGTAGGTCAGGCGGGCCGAACCTCGTGAACATACCGCGTGTCATCTATTGGCTAACTATCTCTATCCCTACTCTCTTTCATTGTCATTGCATTTCATTTTTGTGTGTGGTTTGTTGAAAAATAGTTAATTGCATATTAATTATCGAAAATCCCTATTCACCCCCTCTAGAACCTTTCACAATGTAGGCTGCAATCTCATCCCCTTTTGCCTCATCTGGATATAATAAATGATGTAAGTTAGATTGCATTCTCAGTATACGATGATCATCATCATTGCCACATATCAAGTGCAAGGAAAACCAAAACAGCAAGTAACCCACAGGCAAGGAAAACCAAAACAGCAACACAAAATGCAACCACGAGCTACACAAGCTCTTAACAAAATAGCAGCAAACCTAGCAGATAGGGAGTAAACAAGCAACAAACCCCAGCAGTAGCAGGAGCTGCACAAGCTCCCAAAAACAGGCACAACCCCAAAGAGCATCTATGTTACACAAGCTCAAACAAATCAGCACCAAATAACAGGCACAGCAAATGCTGCACAAGCTCCAAATAACAGGCACAACCCCAGCAGCAGCATTAAAGATACACAAGCTCAAACAAAACAGCACCAAACCCCAGCTGCAGCAGGAGCTGCACAAGCTCAAAAAGCTCAAACAAAACAGCACCAAACCCCAGCTGCAGCAGGAGCTGCACAAGCTCAAAAACAAAACAACAACAACCCCAACAGCAAGGAGCTACACAAGCTCCAAGAACAAAACAGCAGCAAACCCAGCAGATAGGGGGTAAACAAGCAACAAACCCCAGCTGCAGCAGGAGCTGCACAAGCTCCATATAACAGGCACAACCCCAAAGAGCATGAAAGATACACAAGCTCAAACAAAACAGCACCAAACCCCAGCTGCAGCAGGAGCTGCACAAGCTCCAAATAACAGGTATTTTTCAACAAAGATTGGAGCTACACAAGCTCAAAACAAAACAGCAACAAACCCCAGCTGCAGCAGGAGCTGCACAACTGAGGAAAAACAGGCACAAACCCTATTAGCAAGGAGCTACACAAGCTCAGAATAAAACAGCAACAAACCCAACTAGCAAGGAGCTACACAAGCTCAAAAACAAAACAGCAACAACCCCATTAGCAAGGAGCTACACAAGCTCCAAATCCAAACTCAAGGAGCTACACAAACCCAAGAACAAAACAGCAACAAACCTGATGGCAAAAAAACCCAAAGCCAAAGACTTCCTAAAGCAAAGGAGCAACATTAAGAACTCATTGGTCATGCCTATCCATACTTACCTGCACCAAAAGTTAAAAAGTACCAATTCATTAATTACATGACGTCATAGCGTTTTCATAACAAGAAGTATTGCAACATTAATAGTTTGCAAATAACAAAATGATATATGCGCAACAACATATACGTGTGCACAACAAAATGCTCCATCAACATGTAATCCAAACCGCACAAATTAGTTAATAGACCAACCTTGGTCATTAATCAGGTTGGTAATGTACCTTTACTGACCTTCCTTTCCTTTTATGAAAAACCTTCTAGCTTCACGTTCATTGTCATATAAGTGATCTAAAATCCTATCCAGGAATTCCTCAGAGTATTCATTCCTATGTTCCTTCAACGCTGCAGCCAATTGCTCAGTCCAATGAACAATGTGTTGATTTCTCATGGACTGAGACATTGAGTCAACAAAGGCACATAACATCTCCTCTTCACGATTTGATTTTTTAGGTTTCTTGTTAGAAGATGAATTCATGTTGTCTTTACTCTTAGACTTACATCTAGTTGGTTGTTGTTGGTTACAAGCATCAGATTATGGTGTAGTTCCACTCTCCTCTGGAATTTCACTATCATCTTCAGGAATAGGTATGGACCTACTAGACCTAATGTTAGCATACACAGGCCTAACAAATTCACCCTTAGCTTTGGTCATCACCCATGATAGTTTATAAATTTTTGAAGTGAGGTAGGGGTTTGTTTATGTACGCTTTGAACTTAGATTTGGGTTTGTCCTGCAATAACAAATAATCATAAGTTGTGAACCAAATGTATTAATTACTAATGACAATGTAGATGCTGAATGTTATACCTGAGACCACGATTTCAAGGTTTCGTCATCCAATGTAATCATTCTATTTATTTCATCCCACCCAGCTCCACTTATATCAAGGCAAGCCTTC